TCTTTCACATAATTAATTTGATCATGACATGTTCAGTTAATCCATTTCCATTCGCTCGTTTGGTCTCTCGAGGAGGGAAGAAAAACCCTCTCCATTCTCTGCTTTATGTCTCTTTCAGATAAACTATTACATACTCCCCTTCTCAAACAAGTTGTTAGTACCGTACGGCCTATACCTTACCAATTCCATTTTCCCAGCTAGAACAAGCCGCGGAGAAATTGCATGTGGGTTCCACCAATAAATATTAAAAGTTAATAATTGATTAAAATAATTATTTAACTTTTTTATCTTTTTATATTTTACTAAATTATAATTTTCGTTTTAAATCAAGATTTTTTCACAGAGAATTATAATTGGGAACGAACTATTCAGATATCTAAGACAAGTTTGCCAAGATGAGCTAAGTGATATTTTGACAAGATTTTATCAATTGTATAAATAATAAATTTCAACCACGATCTATAGTTCAATTGGTAATTAGATTCTTAGTGGACGAACTTTACCTTCAATTTCCCTATAAGAAGGGAAAGCTTGGTAACATCAGCTGGCCTTCTTTTCAACTTCAAATAAAAAAGGAAACTTTTATAAAGAGAGAAGTTTTGATTTATTAAATAAGAAAAAGGAGAAGAAAACAAAAGAAAAGGGTTGTTCAGACACTATACTAATAGTGTGGATAATCTTCTACTTGTTGACTTGACCCAAGTCTTCTCATCTGTTTCCAAGTCTTTGTAGTGGTTACTAAGAAAATTCAACTGACCCCCTAATGTTTTCAAAATTCATTCAAACCCAACTGATTTTAATACTAGCAATGTCACCCTAATGCTCTCAATTGTAATTTAATGTCATATTATAACTAATAAGGTAGGTGGCATTAAGGGTGTTCAAGTCCCAGTACCCCACCCTTTTTCCAAGGAATCGGATCCGGCCTATTCATGGAATTTGGAACCAAAACCGAAATTGGTCGGTTCTGGTTCCTAATACCCAAGAAAATTATAATACCCCTACTATTCACAAAAATGATAAACATACCCCCATCAGTTCCACCCCGAATACCCAGACCTCGGTTTCTTCAATTCCTAATTCTAATTTTAGTTCCCAGTTTCGATTCCAGTTCTTGAAGTGGTAGAACCAGAACCGCAGGTTCCGCCAAATTTGGAACCAGAACCAACCCTTTTCATGCTAGTTCTAGGGAGGAATCTGAACCCCGAGTATTCACCGATTCCATTTCTTCTCAGATTTCTTACTCACCCCTAAGTGGCATGAAGCATATTTGCAAGTCCTATATGATTGTTAATCCATTACTTGTCATTGCATAAACATATTAGCAAGCATTTTAATATTTATTCAGTTGAGTTTAATATAATCACATAATTCACACATTTATATCAATATGATTTTAATCCACTAACGGTCAAAGGCAATTTTTTTTTTTTTTTTTTTTTTTTTTTTTACCAAATATTACTACCTCTAAAGTTAATAGATTCTTGATTGAATCAAACTATTAAATGGTAATTATATCGATCTATCAATAAAATATTAAAATAATAAAAAATGTATATTTAAAAATAAAAAAATAATTTATAAAAATTTGTATATTATATTATTAATAAAAACTTACACTTTTTTATTATTTTAACAAAATCTAACATCTACCTAAATCAAAACTATAACCTAATCAACCCCTATTTTACTTTATCTTCTTACCATCAATACCAACACGTCCACCTCATCAATCTCTTCGCCAAACATAAACATAACGTAATATATTGGCCTACTTGGATGGCGTTCTCTCCAAGTCTTTGTTATGTTCTTCCATCATCAAGGAAACTCCCCCTTTCAAGTGCTTTCATGCCTTCGACCTTTCTGAACTTGTTTTGAAATCACTTGTAGCTCGAACAAGATGACACCCAAGTTTGAAACCCATACTTTAAGGCATTGCTAGGGATGAAGAAGGTTTGGCTGGCCAGGAAAAGCTCTGAAACGACTCAAAAATATGATTCCAGGTGAAAACCACAACGTTGCTTCCCAGGGAATCATAACCAACCTTGTGAGAATGAGAATTCCGCCAATTATATATCAGAAACTGCAAACTGCATAAGTGAGCTAGAGCTTGGATTTTGTTGTAGTTAAAAACGGAGATCTGAGTAAGATAAGTTGAAATTGTTTAGAGTAATTATTAATTGTTGCCTGCTCCCTCAGGCTGACCACTGTCAGTTTTCCATTTCCCCCCCTGCCTGTACCAATTTAGTGTAATTTTTTTTCTTGTGGCCCTCTCATGCTCCATCCTTGTATCAATTTAGTATCACTTTCCGGTTACGTCATCTAGGGGATCGGTTCTGAGTACCCTTCATTTTTTGAAGAAATTAGAACCGAACTGATGTTTCCTAAATTTGGAATCGACAGTTTGGTTACTGGATATCCAAAACTGAAACCTGTAATAACGGCTCCAGTTCTAGGTACCTAGGAAAATTCTCTACCCCCAAAAGTTTATAAAATGACAAAAAAAAAAAAAAAAAAAAAACCTAATAACTTACAATACCCCCCCCCCCCCCCCCCCCCCCCCCCCCAAAAAAAAAAAATTACAAATACATTATTAAACCTTTAGGCCTTCCACCTCCCATTATGAAAACTAAGAATTTCACATTACAAATTACAATGATCCGTTGAAAAATTAAAAATTACAAACTCCAAAATTAAAATGATAAAATTACATAACATATAAAATAAATTTTGATATATGACAGAAAAATTACAAAAACTCCCCCACTCTTTAATGTTATTTTTATTAGTCTCGATTCTGGTTCTGGTTCTTGATTGCATGAACAAAAACCGAAACCGCACAGTATCGGTTCCAAACTTTTGAAACCATAACCTATCTGTTAACAACTGGTTTCAGCTAGGAACCAAAACCAAACCTCGTGTAGTTGTTGGTTCTGATTCTGATAAGTCCTTTTGAACACCCTTAGCTCCATCTCTTCATAAATGAGTGTACCACATAAAAGAAAAAACCAAGTTGGTATTAATAGACCTCACATGGTTACAACCCAAGTAAAAACAAAGAGTACTTGTCTATATTTACTGAACCAAAATTGTAATTCCATGAGCAGGAAGCCGGGAACATATAATTGATTCATATGGGATATTAATGTGAATGACGAATTTACCGTATAATTAATATGGGGTATTATCATTTAAGGGTCAAGCTGTTTTTTTTTTTTTTTTTTAAATTGACTATAAAAGACCACCATATAATTAATATGGGATTAAGGGATCTTTTTGAATTTTATGTAGCAAGTTCAATGTTTGGTGTGAGAGAATAAGAAAGAATGTGACCTCTCCCCTTGTGACCAGATGGCAAACCCTTTAACCATTAGGGTTAACTATATCCAAAGGATCTTGTGTTTGAGTCACAGACTTGCAGGAAATGTACTTACTATATTTATGCAATTATCTTGGTCTATTGGACTTATAGGGTGTTCCATAGTCCTTAAGGATTAGGCATGCTCCAATATGGGTTTCGACAATACCTAAAAAATATATTAAAAAAACTGAGGGAAAGTGAGAGAATAATAATAAAAAATATTGATCTCTTTTGTAATTGGGCCGGGGCCCATTTAGTATAGCCCACATTATTTAAATCCAATTTCAACTATAGTAGTATCTTTCAAAGAATTTTAGATTTATAATTAAAATAATTGTAAGACTAAAGAATGCACATGATGTGAATATTACTCTTATATATATATACTCATCATGTCATGGTGATTTACATTAGTTAAAAAAATACCATCCCCTCGTCCCAATTTTTTTAATATCACTCTTATAAATCATTATTTAAAACTTGGATGGAATCGATTGGTTTGACTGGTCTGACTGGTAAACTGGATCCTTATCTGATTCGAGTACATCCCAAATTCAATTATAGCAATTAGACTAGATTGATTTGAGGTTGAACTAGTGGAATAATGTTAAATCATCGTCCAACCAGTTGGATCGGCCGATTGAACCGATAACGTAAGCTTGACATCATGATGGCATATAAAATTTTAAAATTCTTTGGATTTCGAATTTTGGATTTATTTTGTTTATGTTATATTGTAGTATTATTTTGATTTGGATTTATATGGATTTACATGGATTTACTTTAAAAATTTATTAACTATTACAGTTTTAAAATTTTATTACATCATGTTGATGTTAGTATGACATCATTAGCCTGACTTGTCGGTCGGACTGCACAACCCAAGGACTAGTCCAGGCATAAAAACATTGGTATAAATCAATATACATGTTAATCAATATCAATGATAAAGTCATAAAAGAGTAATATTACACTTATAAACTTTTTATACCAACATTCTTATATAAATTGATGTAACAAAAGATTATTGAATTATTGTAAATTAAAAATAAATTAAATAATTAGAAGAAATTACATGACGAACATGTCCAAAGGGCCAAAATTTAGGCATATATTAATTTTTATATATAAACTTTTTAGTGGTCATGGCCACCCTATACTAATTTGGATATTTTTCTTTATCCAAAGCTAACGATAAAGACAAAGGATTGAATCCATGTAGTACCTCTAAGATATTTCCAGTTGTATCTAGTCTATTGGTTATTCGATATAATCAGTGTTATTATTAGGCTTTTTCCGTTAATTTTAAAATTTGACCCATTTTTATCATTAAATGATAATATTATCCTTTTAAAAATATATTTTTTTAAATGCAAAAGAAAAACCTAGGATTTTAAAAAAAAAAAAAAGGTTTCTCAAAAATACTAATTTTTTTTTTCCAAAATTACATCAAATTAAAAAGAATAAAGAAGAAAAAATTATAAAAAGATTAGAAATTCTTAATTTTATAGAAATTTATTTTAAGGGGCATTTGGGTCAATTTATATTTCATATTTCATATTTTAATTTTATATTTTAAAAATCATATTTAAAAGATGATGATAACGGTAATTCGAAAGTAGCCAAGTAGCCAACCATATCCAAAGCCAAATGCCAGTCACTCTGCTCTCTCCTCTTTCCTTCAAAATCAAATTCAATCCCCAAGCCACTGCTCTCAAAACACCACAATTCAACACCCTCAACAAAGACAAAGTCATCATCATCGGCGCTGGCCTCGCCGGTCTCGCCGCCGCCACCAAGCTCCACTCTCAAAACATACCCTTCCTCCTCCTCGAAGCCTCCGACGCCGTCGGCGGCCGCGTTCGAACCGACACTCTCAATGGCTTTCTTCTCGACCGTGGCTTCCAAATCTTCATTACGGCTTATCCGGAAGCCCAGAAATTACTCGACTACAACGCATTGAATCTTCAGAAATTCTATTCCGGCGCCAAAATTTTCCATAATGGCCGATTCCACACGGTGGCTGACCCTTTACGCCACTTTGGCGACTCATTGAACTCGCTAGCGAACCCCATTGGCTCGGCTCTCGATAAGTTGCTGATCGGTTTGACGAGAATAAGGGTTTTGAGTAAATCGGATGAAGAAATTTTTAGTGCCGGTGAAGTTTCGGTTTTGGATTTGTTGAAGAGTATCGGGTTTTCGGATTCGATTATTGAGCGGTTTTTTAAGCCCTTTTTCGGTGGTATTTTCTTCGATAAAGAACTGGAAACGAGTTCGAGATTGTTTGATTTTATCTTCAAATGTCTTGCTCTTGGAGATAATACTATTCCCGCCAAGGGAATCGGCGAAATTCCAAATCAGTTGGCGGCGAAATTGCCGTCCGATTCAATCCTGTTGAACACAAAAGTTGTTTCCGTCGATTTAAACAGCCGAAATTCGGCAAATGTGAGGCTGCAGAATGGAGAAGTATTGAATACTGAGCTTGGGATAATCTTGGCCGTTGAAGAACCTGAAGTTGATAAGCTTTTACCGGGAAAAGAGTTAAACCCACAAAGAAAAAATTATCGGAGTACCGTTTGCTTGTATTTTTCGGCGAATCGGGATAAAATTCCGGTGCAGGATCCGGTTCTTTTTCTGAACGGTTCGGGGAAAGGAATTGTTAACAACATGTTTTTCGCTACAAATGTAGCTCCGTCGTATGGTCCATCAGACAAGGCACTGGTTTCGGTGTCATTGATCGGGTTGTTTGAGGATGTTTCAGATGATAATTTAAGAGATGAGGTGATCCGCGAAATATCAGGATGGTTCGGGAGCGAAATGGTGGGTTCATGGGAACATTTGAGAACGTATCGGATCCGGTTTGCTCAACCGAATCAAAGCCCACCAACGAATTTGATGAAAAATCCGAAACGTGAATCAGGTTTGTATTTGTGTGGTGATTATATGACTTCTGCAACTTTTGATGGCGCTTTGGTTTCGGGAAGAAGAGCAGCTGAAGCTTTGATGAGGGAAAGGGCATTATTGTCCGTTTAATTTATTTTTATATTATATTAATTTTAATTTTTTGATGTTATTGTAGGTATTGTACTTTATATTGTAAAACCGATTGAAATAATTGTAATTTGTAAAACATGTGATTGATATATAGAGTAATAATGTTACTCCATCTCAACTTTTTTTTAAAGGAAAATAATCTAGTTATCAAAAAATGCGCATCGAATTCATGTACCGAATGACGTAATACAATCTTAACCGTTGATTAATTATAAATTAATATTAATCGACAATCAATATTTCTTCATTTCATTTGGTTCATGAATTTGATGTGCATTATTCGGTAACTGTAGCATTTCTCTTTTTTTAATAATCGGCACTTGCTTCATAAGCTCAAGTTCGAAACTAAAAATCTCTTGCATTATCGATTTGGAAACCTACCAAACCCTACAATTGTTATTATGCAATTAAATATAACTTTTGATCATAAGAGTACCCATGAGAGAGCTCGAGCTCAAACCTTGTACGAGCAAATCATATACTTGACTATTCGACTAAACCCTCGGTGATAATATATAGCACTTATATTCCGAAAGTAGCCCCTAAAGAAAAGGTAAGAAAGAATGCTACATCTATCATAATACCACCATGTAGTTTCGATGGTGGTAGAGATATCGGCCACTCCTGAAGCACTAAGCTTTACCATGGTCAAAGAGTCTCGGTGATGGTAGATACAAGCCACTCGTTTTATAATCTATCAGAGTTTGAAAGTAGATGGAGGTTGGACGCCAACATCGAAGGGCTTCTCACTTTGTTGTCACCCAACCAACATAGAAGGCTTTGTCTCTTTCTCACTTGGTATCCAACCATGTTCCCTTCAAATCGTCTGAAACACAAGTCTCTGGATTTGCAACCCCATATTTGCCCTAGTAATGCGTATACTTGCGGTTGCTAAATGTCCATTCCAGCTCTAGTAACGTCCATACTTGCCCTGGAAATGTTTGACGGCCCCGCCAACCTCAACTTTCTTTGATATAATTTATATTCTTCATCTAGATGGAATTGGTCTCCTCAAGCAGCCAACCTGTAATAATCAAGATAAAAAGCTAAGTCATTTTTCAAAGTATAATATACAAAATTTCCAGTGAACATAACTTGGCAAGGAAGTGAAATTTTTTCAAAACAACATCGGTCTGCTCGCATCAATCCAGTAACAAGAATTTCATGACACAGTGATAGATGAATTTGAAGCAAACTAGGAACTTCCCATTTCAAACCATAAGATAATTAATGAACTTTGGTTGAATGAAATCAAGCTCCATTGATTTTAGGGGAATCAAATAAACACATCAAGGGAAAACCAAGATGTGAATCTGAAATTTGAAATAGAAAACCACCAAAAAAAAAATGCCGACAGAAACAGAAGTATTGAAGCTACTACAATCTTAAGAATCTACCACCCAACATACCCGACAAACGGGCAGGCTAGGTGGGTACGAGTCGAGTCAAAACAGGTATAGGTAAAACGGATGGAAGTTTTAAACATGTAATGAAATATAAAACCGTATCCGACCCTTGCGGGTCACTCATTTTTTTAACATATTCTTCAATACAAAATTAAGTGAAACTCAAATGAAAACCATATAATATAAACGCAGATCAACTTAAAAAACAACTAAAAAAATCAAAGAGTAATAGATACTAACAAGTCAATGCTGAGACAATATGGAATCTTGCAGACTGTAAAAGAATCTACACTATTTTTTATAGTAAAAGCTTGTTTAATGTAAAAATCGAAGAGTAAACCCACATTTGCTCTCATATTACAAGTACACTTTAAGTGTTACATATTTTAGCATCTGGGTCCCTCAAAACATACAATATTAGCGAACAAAAACTCGAAGAAGTTTGAAAATAATTGTCACCATAGATCAATGGTCTATAAACAGGAAGACACATCCCAATACAAACTTAACAAACAAGACCACCACTGATTTAACATTAAACTTGAATGCAGACTAACAAGAGGGAAAAAACAAATGATTCAGACAAGAAGACGAAACTGAAAATCTATACAATTAAAACAGACTAGCTGTGAAGCAAAGGCATGTAAAACCATCTAGAGATTTCATCAGAATTCTTCAATAGTTCATGAAATTTATCACTCACAAACACTTACGCTAAGTAGATGGTACTCAATACCATCACCACTCATCAGAATTACAGGCGACAATGCTATTAAGAGACCTTAAAGTTCTAAAACTGATAAGAAAGTTTCAAACTTAATCTATGTATGGAAGCTATCTCACATTAATCAACATGTTTCAGTGACAGAAACTTCTGTATCCCCAGAAAAATTATATGAAACATAAGGTCACCCCACTATTACATCAATATTGTAGATTTCTTTAACACTCAAAATAGCTTATACACAGTACAGAACCGCATGTAGAAGTGAATGACATGAGTGTTTTGGCAAAGAATCACAGAACACAAGAATAGGTAAGAGTAAGTAGCTAACAAAGTAGTAAACAAAGAAAAAAAATACCCCAGATTTCATTTTTGTTTCCTGAACCCTTGACAACAGTGACCCACAGAAAAATTCTAAATCTTGTTCATCACCATAACACTTCTTGTTCTTGAAAGCATAATATTTATATAAACATTAGCAGAGCTTGATGTAGAAACTTAAACCAGACTGTAGCCCCAGCTTCATTGGTCAGCCTGGTTTGGTTCTTGGTTGGTGGGTTGGCTCTGTGACCCAACTCCTTGGAGAATCTGCAACAGAATTATATTGTTTCTCCCAGCTGCTTGCGGAAATTCACATATGCAAGGATCATCTTTTTGCTCATGGTTCCACCAGCAGACTTGTTTCCATCCCCACTAATCCAGGTTCGTCCATCCTTTCAGCACATAACCATTCCAGGCCATTTCCTCTCCATCTCATCTTGAAAGGTTACATGTTCAGCTAATAGAATCCAAAATCTCTGAAGGCATAAGATAGAACAAACTGCAATAATGAATAGAAAACTCTAACATTAGCAACTATATTGTTTAATAAGCAAAACAAAATGCATGCTTGACCCCATAAATTCAAGCCAAATGAAGTCATTTACATTGGATTTATGATGGTGCAAGAAATCATTATACTGCCAACAACATTTCTTATTATGAACTAAAACACAGGAGAATTTGGCCTCCATTTCAAGCAGAGGTACCATAAATCATAACAAATTGAAAGAATTAGCATTTCACCAATTGTTTTAACTGATGAAAAATGAAATTAATAGATGATTTTAGCTGTTACCAGTCGGTTTTTCCAGATTTCCTTAGCTTTGACACAAAGTAGGGATTTTGATGATGAACATATTTTCTCACTTCCTCTCCAGTCAAGACATTGTCACATTAACAATGGGTTTCATTCATCTCACACAAACCCTATTACATATCTATAGGGCACACATGCACATAGAATTACTTTGAGATGAAAAAAAATAAAATAAAAAGTACATAATGTTTACCATCATTTCCACAAATCCTTTTGCCTCTCTGCTTCAATGTAGCTATTACGTCTAGTGCTTCTTCTTCTGTTTCCACCTCCTCCTCTTCCTCTGCCTTTTCGACATTATCTTCACTGTCACTACCGTAATCTTCATCAAAATCAGTACTGACATCAATAATTTCGTGTCCTCTTCTTCTTCCTCCTCCTTTATATCAATGCCCACAAGAGGATCGGCTTAGCTTTCCCGCAGCCAGATTTCCCCAAAATTTTAACATTGAATCTATCATCACCATTGAATCGAAAAATTAGAAAATCTCCACACTCTAAAGCGCTGTCTTCCACAAACTTTTGCCAACCATTCACAAAAATACCCCATTGTCAGCATATACCATTTTCATATGCCAAACTTTTCCCATTCGTTCTGAAGCGCAACATTCTTCGGTAATGCATTCAAGTGCCACTTTTACCAATAAATCTCTTCTGTGAAAATCCCGGATGCTTGGGTACAATACTCGAATGCATTACCAAAGAACGTTGTACTTCGGAATCGAATGGGAAAAGTTTGGCATATGAAAATGGAATATGCTGACAAAGGGTTTTTTTTTTTTTTTTGTGAATGGTTGGAAAAAGTTTGTCGAAGACAATCCTATGGAGTTTGTAGATTTTTTAATTTTTCGATACAATGTCGATGATAGATTCAATGTTAAAATTATGGGGAATTCTGGCTGTGAGAATAGTTAAACGGCATTGATATGAAGGAGGAGGAAGAAGAGGAGAAGCACTAGGTTATTGATATGTATATTTTTTTATATTTAACAAATTTTGATATTTTTAATTTGATTTATGAAACTATAATTTAGCTTTAATATTTGAAAAAATGGGTTTTAGACCCATTAAGCGGCCCATGATTCATGCTCTTGGGCCCAGAGGCCTAATTTCCTACGTGAAGCTCAAGCAGGTTCTTCAACAAATTATACGACATTTTCAAGATCCAAAAGCAATTATAAATTACTCATAAACAAATTATCTATTAAATCAATCTCAAGCAAATTCTTCAACATACCTAAATACTAAATTTGTATCAAAAATTCTTGTATTTAATCAACTACATGGGTATTTAATCCATTATAACCCTTTTCATATATTTTTTTAAAACTGTTTCAAAAGCGAAAAGAAAATCGCTTTGTGTTTATATTGTATTATGAGTTTTGAAATGTAATTAAATAGATTTCCTCTTAAAACTTTAGGATTTTTTAAAAGTTCTAAGAACAGCAAAAACTTGTTCAGGTTTTTTAAATGTGTAGTCTCTTTTGGTAATTTTGTATTTATAATATATTTTCAAATTAAATAAAAAAAAAAACACCAATAATAGGCTTACAACGGGTATTATAATACCACTTTTTTTTTTTATGAATTGGGCTTTTCATATGAGCTAATTGTTAAATAATTAAAACCCATTTAATTTAAAACTCTCATATATAATTTATTATTAATAATTATTTAAAAAACTTTCGTTTTTTTTTTTTTTTTTTTTACCATTTCATGTCAAATAGGAAATTTAAAATCCTTATATCATAATTACAATTTGTTACCAATACTTATTAAAAAAGTGTTTCTTTATTTCATTAATCAAGAACTTATTTTCCTTATTATCTCTATTGAAAAATAATTCCTATATATCTCACTCAAATAGTTTGATAGGTTTGACTGTAAATCTTTATTTCATCTCTACGAGAATCATAATTTCTTCTCCTTCCCTGCATAAAGGGAGGGTGTTGAATTCCTTTTAAACTTATTTATTAAATTAATTTACATGAAAAAGAATTTGAGATTCAATAATTGAGGATTTTACTCTTTAAAACACAACTTCGATAATACTCTCCTTCATTAGCATGTCCTTTTTATTTATTTTATAAAGTTAGAGTTTCATTTCAATGAAAAAATAAATTTCGAAGAAAAGCTTATTACATACCTCCTATAGGTTTATGTTTATGATCTTTTTTTCTATTAATAAAAGTTTATCGTAACAACAGAACTTGTAATACGTAGGTATGTCTATGATATATGCATACATAATATTTCCAAAAAAAAAAAATTTAGACTTATCAATAGAAAATTTTGGTTTTGTCCCTGGAACCTACCATTCATCTACTTTACATTATAATATCTTAAAATATAATAATATAATAAGTTATATTAGAAGCCCACAATTTATTGAAATATTCACTTTCTTGTTGTAAAAGTATTTGTCCAAAGGAGGAAGATTTTATTTATTGACATTTAAAAAATAAATTATTAACTTTTAAAAAAAAAACTTTCATTATTTTAATTAATTGTCTTTAAAATTATAACTTTTACTGTTCAAAGAGCATTTTTTTTTTTGACTCTATACACATCAAACTATTATTAGCTTATTTATTTTTAAATAATATTAATTGGTTAAGAATAAATCATCTAAAATAATGTTACACATAGTTCTTAAAAAGTATTATTTCTATAATATTATCATTAGAGTTAAAATATATTGATTTTAATAGAATATAATAAGAAAAATAAAAAAATTCAATAGTTAATAAATGGTTAGTAAGTAATAAATTTATGCAATTATAAGTTATTAAATATTTACTTTATCCTTAAACCTTTTATTTTAACATCTATAATTAGTTAATCTACTATTATTTAATTAATGTATTAGGGCCACGTCAACAAACGCTCTATATGATAACCAATGATTTTTCTTAAGTTACTCCATTGTTCTCTGTTTTGAAAGTTTCATTGAACACTTTCAACTTCTTCATCTGGCCATGGAAGAGACTTCACTCGACTGGTCCGGTCTTCTAGATTTCTCTCCATGATTGCTCAATGTCTCCATTCTCGAATCGACACCCTCCGCTTCTGTGCAGTCTATAACTCATTTCAATCCTCAATCCCTCCTCCTCCACCAAAACCATACTCAAACATTCACTATTACTTCAAGCTCTGACTCTTTGACTATCTCATAAACTTCGTAATTGCAGCGACCACTGTTTAGGCCATTGAGCCCATTTCAGAAATGTTTGTTGGTCAATGAACCTAGTTTGTCAAAGTTGAAGAGTCCCCCTTCGGTAAAGTTCGAGTCTTGTATCCCTTCTCTACATTTCATTTTCACGAAATTTCTGTTATGTTACCTCAATCTTTGAACTTACTTGACTATCGTGTTTAGGAAATTAGTAAAGGGTATAGACTTAAATTGGCTAAAGATCAGCAGAGTGAACTGAGCCGTGGGAGTAGAGTTACTTTGGTAGAGTTGCTGTTAGCAGTAAAGATGATGATGACTTCGCTATTATGGTGTTGATTAAAGACCGTGTGGTGCTGTGAAGGGGGGAAGATAATAAATGGGTTGATGTAAATATTGATCATGATCGTTTTGAATTTATTTTAGATATTATTTACCATAACAAGAAATTTTATGTTTTGAGCTCTAGGAATACCATTAGTGTGGATCCTAAGTCTTTGAATGTTGTTGAACATGTGGCTCCATTAGGGATTCCAATGAGAGTCCATTGTTCATTCCACTTGGTAAAGTCAGCTGCTGATTTGTTTTTTATTAAAATGTTCGGTTTAGACTCGCCCTTCTCGGTGAATGCTAATGGAAGACGTGGTCGGGTTGGTTTTGATATTTTATAAGCTTGATGAAGGAAAGAATGAGTTGATTGAGGTGAAAGATGGATTGGAAAATAGATCCTTGTTTATGTGTGGGGAATGCAAATTCTTTCTTTCAGCTAGAGAGTTCTCTGTATGTAAACAGAATTGTGTTTATTTAAGTTATAGAATTCATTTAAGGGTTCTTATGATTACCCCGGCAAGTATGCTACGTTTTTTAATTTGGAGGATGGTACTACTGAGCGGCTTTATCTTGGCTTGTCTGAGATTTTCTGGCCTCCGCCGACTTGGCTCTTCCCTAAATGTAAGTATTTCTTTTTAGTTGTATCTTATCCTTTGGAGTTGCCATAATTTCATTCAGAATTCTGAGAGTAATGCCTTGTTATAGTCTGATTATTGGTATGTATGTGTGCTTATTGGATCCTTATTTGTTTGCTATATTGAGGGCTCTTTAACAAGATTTGTGTGCATCAGAATTGCTGATCCAAAGACATGGTATTGTATGCATATGTTAATATTTCACTGTCCAAGTGCTATTTCTCATTGTCTGATTTAAGTATAGATTCACTTTGCTTTATTCCGTAATTGACTTCCATGTGGTGCACAATGCTTTCATGATGATCATTTCTTCTTCATTTGAACTTTAACTTCTTGTGCATCAAAATATTCGTGGATATGGTTCATAATTCATTTATATCATGATGGATAGTTAAAGTACCCTTAGTATGATCCTCAAGCAGGAGATTCAAGAGTTATGAGTAGTTCAGCAGTTTGTTTATGCTGTGCAGTTTCGGACAGCAGTATTGAAATTATATTTTACTGCAGTGCCCTAAAAATCAGGAGTACTTGTTGATATTATTGTACAAAAATTGTGATCCATGAGTGAAATCTTTAGTTCTGAGTTCATCGTGACATTCTTATTTTTGGATAGATTCAGTTTGTCTGATTTGCCTT